TCATATTTTACTGGCTGATAAGTCAGCAAAAAAATCGGCAAACTGGTCGATTTTATCGCGATAAAGCGCACAATTAATCGGTCCGTAAATCGCGATAAAATCGTCGATTTTTCCGCGATTATCATCACATGGATAGCGTTGTAGCAAAGTACAATGTGGCGGATTTAGCTGAATTTAACTAATTTTGATTGGCTTCGACTGATTTTAAATCGATTACATCCATTTATAGTAACTCTCATGCATCTGAAGAACTACAGAAAGAGCGGAAAGTCGACGTTAGTTAGAAAGACTTTAATGATTTATTAATATAAACGAAGACACAAGGTGGTAGAAAAGAACCTTTCTCTACTTTTCACTCATCTGCATGACACGAGATAAACGATCTGAAGATAGAGTTCTGTTTTCGTCAGTTAACATCCAGCAGGCTGATTGTTTATGTAGATACTGAACTTTATCATTGATTTTAATCTTGAAATATGAGGCTAACAAGCCCTTTATTTTCTCCGTTTTCGATAGAAGGAATAATAAGTTTCTTCTTATTTAAAAAGTGATATACACACAGACATGTGCTTTATTTTCGCCTTTTTCGGATAGAAGAACACAAGTTCTTTTTATCCATAGAGAAATGTGCTTTATTTTCTTCTTCAATAAGAAGAGCATAACTTCTTATTTAAACAAGATAAGTTGTTGCTGCATATACTGAAACTTTCGTTTTTATCGGTATGAATGATTCTCTATGTATTTTTCCAAATTTCTTTTCACTTCTTTCCATTCTTCTAGAGAAATTGTGTAGTATCTTTTTCAATAAGATACAAAAGAAACATCAAGAATTTTACTAAAAATGTATTAGAAACAAAACAAAGTTTTGTAAATGGGTAATAAAACTTTCAGATTATCTGCGTTAGAATTTTGATTTGGCATGTTTCAGACTCAACTAATTCGTTTATTGCTACACCCATCTTCTACCTATTTATTCATCTGCATAACAGTGATAACAAAATCGTTATTCCCCAGAGGAAAACAAAATAGCTTTTTATATTTGGATGTGTCGATGTCAAAATTATCACAAATTTTTTTAATGAATAAATTCTTCAAAATTATCACAAATGCTCAACGGGTTGAATAGTTGAAGGGGTCTACTATTTTAGTTCTTAATGACATTTTTTAATACAAAAGAATTTGTTTTTCAAATATGTTTATAAACCCATTGTTTTTTGGAAATTCATTGCTGCTCCAATGCATCTAGGTTTTGGACCAGATAGATAGATATAGTTAGAATGAAACACTGTACAACTTAAACAAATATATATTGACAGTAAGTGTTCTATGGGTATCTATCAATAAAAACTTTCGTTTCCATCAGTATGCGATAAGAGTCATTAATGTGGTAAAAACTAACAAAGAAATATTTTCTTTTTTCATCATAGTCTAACGTTCTTGTGTAGAAAAATACAAAAAATTACATTTGGAAAAATACATTTATATGGGAAGAGAGAACAAACAAAAATAACTGCTTATTTTCGGTTTCTATGTATAGAAATGTATTAATTGCATGTTATATGGAAAGATAAGATCAGATTCTACCACGTGAAGAGACAAAAAGTTTTTCTTTATGATTTTACCAGTGGAGAGCGTTGTTGATGTGAGAAAACAAAGGTTATTCGAAGGATGAGAAAATTTAAGACAAAGATCATCTGAATTGTAGATAAGAACATAAGAATTATTCACATAAGAATTATTCTGTTAATGAGACAGAAACAAAAAAATTCTTCTCTTCTGATATGGATGAAACAATCACATTTTCTCTTGGCTGTTTTTGGTCTCCTGATGCACAATTTGGTTGTGTGATGGGTGTGACTCGAACACGTGTTGGATATACGAGTATCAATAATGAATCATTTTCAGCTGATCGCATAGAATGTATTCAAATTGATTATAATACAAGTGTTGTTACGTTTAAAAACCTTCTTGATCGGTTTTGGAAATGGCATGATCCAACAGTTCAACAACTCAATCCTTCTTATATATCAGCTATTTATTATCATAATTGCATTCAAAATCATGAAGCAAAAGAATCACTGGTAGAACAACAGAAGGAATTTTTATTAAAACCAATTTTAACCAAAATTTTACCCATAATTAATTTTGATTTGGCTGAAGACTATCATCAAAAACACTATTTGAAAAGACATATAACCTTGTTCCCTGGAAATATCAGTACTCATGTAGCAACTAGATTAAATGGATATTTAGCCGGTTACGGTACTCGAGAACAATTTGAAGATGAAAAAGAAAGAATGGGATTAAATCGAAAGCAAATCAATTTTATTCGAAAACAACTTGAGAATTGAATTAGAGCAAGTTCAGATTCATTCAACAAAGAAAGTTGGCAATAACTTTATTATTTAACTGGAAACTGTATCGTTACATTAGACAAGAAGACTATGTTTCTGCTGTTTAATAGCAGTTTTCAACAACACGCGTATGTATCCTGCATTCCAATAGCTACAAGAAAAAAAGGTTATGTGATGTATCATAATCACCGAAACGTTCAGGTTTGATTAAAATGACATAAATTATCTCGATTATTTCTAAAATTATGAAAAAAGTGAAACTATTTTGTCGCTTTAGGAGAACTTTTTTTTTCTCGCACATTTCTCACTAATTTCGGTTCATGAATTCTCTTTTGATACTGAATCCTAATCTAAAAGATCAATATCGCATGTGCAGTGAGAATAAATCGTGAAAGTCAAATAAACTTGTGTAACTCCAAATTAGTGCTGACAAAGAAATAAGTCTT